ATCATTCCTAGGGAATCACACATTTCATGACGCTAATAGGAAAACGTCCTATCTTTAAGAACCTGATTGGTTCCCTGTGCACTGGCTGTCTAGGCTCTCTTGTGGTTGCCTCTGTCTCCCAATCAGGAATGGTATGTTTCTGACCGATGAGGTTCAAAGCGGGACATGCAGTGTGTAGCCCTTGCGGTCGAGGCAGAGCTTACCTCAAATCTCATTTGAGTGGGTCTTGTGCAGCCGCGATCACTCTTTCTACTGGGCAGTTCGGTCACTGTTAACCCGAGGATGTATAGCAACTGTGCGATCTCACGAAATTTTAACCGAAATTCGGAGATCCATTTTTTTAAAAATATTTCTAACAGACTGCTTACGTAGGGTTTTAATATTGTCTATCGTGAAGCATAATTTCAACATTGTTTAGTCACTTTTGTATGCCAGCTTTTGAAAGAGCTTCTTTCCGGTTGCCTTGAAAGAAAGCATATCCTCTTCAAGTTTTGTTCTTGAAAAAAGGTACCTTTCGGTTTCAAAAAACCTTTTCAATTGCCAAGTAATTTTGAACCCGACTCACCATTCCACTTGTATTCAAGGTTTTCAAACTGTATGCTGTCGACATGCTGCCTGAGGAAAATTACACATTACTCTATTACAAAGACGTTATACAGTGCTCAGAGCATTTTGTTCCGGATGTGAACCATGTTGCCTAATAAATAAGGAGCATTAGTACATGGACAGACGCGATGCTTGATGAATGGACATTTAACAGTTTTAGAAATATCGTATGTGGACGCTTTTTTAAGCCCAAAAGCTGCCCTTTCTTCAAGTGTTAAATTTGCGGAAGACATAATTTGTTACCAATCGAGTTCAAGAAAGGATCCTTTCGTGCATGTAAAATATTCTTCAAGGCGAAAAAATACTATCACTTGATTTGCCATTTTTTACAGAAGTCAACTTTTGTGGGCGACCGAAAAGCAACTTCTTCAAAAGCCGGCACTCTGATCTGACTAAAATATCTAGAGGCTAAGCTTTAAGATGAGTACTAATGCGATCCAACTTTTCCAATCAAAAACAGATTTAAGAATTCTGGCTGATGCCTCATGAGATGGAAAATCTACTGTGCAAGCACTCGGACTCTGTAATTTGCCAGTGGAGTACGTCCAACAGATTGGTTACTCATCGCAGAGTAAAGAACGTGTATACGTGTCTTGTCCAGATTGTAGGCCAGCCCTCATTAACGATGCAATCTCGCCCAGTTATCTGCATGCCGTCATATAACGCGACGCGATTGGTCCACTAAATTGCCTTTTTTCTGTTAATTTTTTCTCTAAACTTCCTGTTAACTTTGGACGTCAGCGTTTTTCGTGATTCCGCTTTACACTTGACGGCGTTCCTCCCCGTCTGTCCTTGGTTTTTTTTTCGCGATGGTTATCAGCCCTAACGATTGATAATATAAACCACTCTTTTGCAATGTAGAATGCATCGCATTGTCACTACGCCGCTGCTGTCTACTGTTATATGGTGAAGCCAGCCAAAGGCGTGTCCTCTTTCGGTCTTCTTTCCAGTATTAGTAATATTTAAAGTTTATCTTGGTTATCTCCATACCATCCAGACCCCTGCGACTGTCTACTTCTTTGTTGCATCCTGGGCTGTAGGGGAAGGTGCTCTAGAAGGCCAACACTGAGATCAGGGAGGCTGGGAATGCCATTTATAAACACACCCTAACTGTCTTCAACCAGGACCTCAGTTTTGAACCTGGATCTGTTGGTCATTGAGTGTTTACATGTCCAACGCTTTACTGTAGAGCCGATAACCCGTTTTCCTGTCGATTGCGATCAGAAGTAGTAACTTCTGTTCGAAGTGTATTCGCCGATCGTGTTCTACGGACCACACCCATCCGGTTCCTCTTCGGCTCAACCTAGCGACCAGTTATGCTACAGAAAGGGAACACCAACTGTGACTGTTTTGTTCGACCAGCGAATTATCGAACGCCAATCTAGGGGAACAGTCTTTTTGGGAATTTCCTAATCTCGTTAACTCTTTCCCCTCTTTTTTTCTCCCTATAGATGCCCTCTACAAAGCCCTGTCCACGGAGTATCCCAAACTCGTCAACAGTTATGGTGAATATCGCAGCGAGATGCTGCGTGTTCGACGACGCCTGGAAAGACCGTTCTCCGACACGGCTTCCTCTTCAGCTTCCGTTTCCTCAATATACAGTCTAAACGATCCAACCAGCTGTCCTACCACCGATACAGCAGTAAATGTGGAATCGACTCTACCGCTCATAGACACCATATTTGCCCACAAACCTGGCCTCGGGCACCAGCGAACAGACTCCAACGCCTCCTCAGCCTCTGAGTACGATCTCGGCAATGGTGGTGTTCGCTTACGAACCAGTTCCTCCGCCGCCGTAGAGGCATAGAATCATCCTCTGTTCTCACTACTCCGTCATCCGATCCTATTTGGTTGTATACATATATATACATATACCCGTGCTGCGGCCTCCGCCTTCCACGCGACCTAATTTTTTTCCTGCAACCGCCACAGAGTTCCTATCTCCCCCCTTTCTGCCTGTCACCCTTTTCGTTTGCTAGTACGTCCCTTTGCCCCCTCCCCCACCTCCGCACTCGTCCTCCTTTTTGTTCAGCAAACCCCAACCGTCGTTTTCAAGGTCGCGGTCTATGCATTTTTACGCCGTACGCCGAACTTTCGCTTGCTGCTGCCTAGACAGTTGTTGTTCAAGAGATCAGTGACGTCTTTTGCCCTTATCCACCGCTGTATTATAGGGCGCAGATTATGTCTCCCTATTGTTTTAATACTCATGCGTATGTTTATGTCTTATCCACCGCCCCTGCCCCCGCCCCGGCACACTCAGCGTTTTCTGCAAGCCCCAAGGTTACCCACTCATGCACGAGGCCGGAGGTTATAAGTGCACGCTTGTTTGTACACTGACCGCCGCTTTGTTGCTACGTGTTCGTTTTCTTGTTAGTTTCCCCATTTTGGCCTCTTTTTTTTTCTTCTCCGTGTGCGTGCGTGCGTGCCTACTAGTTGAGTGGTCAATCAACCAATAAATGTGCATGTACACTTTGCGGTTTTTCATTTGCCGGATGGCACAGCGAGGTCGTGACCATGTTTTGCTCTCATATCGCACCCCAACCGTTTGCCCCGGTAAAACCGAAATTGTCGCATCTTGAATATAGATTTTTCAGCCTGACTGCAGGACAAGGGGTAGCCGTCTTGGCCTGGAGCTCCGGGTGAATGGTAAATTTTGGTTCGATAATCTTTGGACCCCGACTGACCTCTTATTTACTTGTACTTGATTCGATTAGCTCCTGTTGTTGGGTGAATCGGCTTCAGGGATAGCGGCGGTCCCTTG